ATTAGATCTTGCTTCAACAGATCACATACCACAACTCATTCAAACTCCTCAGTTTCGAGTTCTTTGAGTCGAGAAATTCACACAGATGGATTTCTTTCTCTCCATCAAGTGTTCACTTTCATTTTCTGGATCAGCATAGACTCTCTTGGTCTGAAAAAAACATAGAACGGAGCTTGATTTACATCTCCACCAAAAAGAGTGCTTCGTAAATTTTGCACCACAATGGACCCCCGGTTTGTGAGGACTCTCCGGTTTACTTACTTACTTTATGGTGACTAGCTCCTGGGAGAGAATAAGTTGGCTCCATGGAATACCAGAATAATTTCTTGGGAGTTAGACACAGGACACGTCCCCAGTGTCACCCGGCTTTAGGTCGAGGTAGTATCTTTAAAGTCTGCACATTGAAGTGCTAACTGTGAAGCAGCAGAAATGTAGCGCCTGGTTACTGGTGACCTGGAGGGAGGGCTCATACGCCGTTGACAATTCCTAGCTAAACAGGGGTCCATGCATCCTTGATGAATACGGTGTCCCCGCCTCCTTGAACGTCGAGTCATGTAAGCGAGTTTGTCCACTCAACACTTTGGTATCGCATTCATTCGTTAAGCATCCATTCGCCGGTGGTTGAGCTCCCGGTTACCAATAACATGGATTGTCCCGCTTGTCGGGCGATCTACTAAGGTGTGGCCGCTGTTGCACTCAGATAGTTCCTTGGATTTTCCCCCAAAACGCCAACAGCCCTCCGAATCAGAGGAACACCTCCTAGCGGGTACTCCATACACGACCCTCCTTTCCGGTTTCGAAATCCGTCAGGATGTCGTGCTTTAAGTAAAGTTTATCATCAGGAATCTAATAAAAATTTGATTGTGCGAACAAAATATTGAAAATTGGTTCCCGTGGCTTGGTTAAACTGAATTCTATTTCGCCTGTTCGCCGAATTGGGCAATTTGTTTGCAAACGTTTCATCACCAGCCGAGGTGACATCATCAGTGCTTGTGAAGTGGCAGTGTTCTGCCTGTACCCGTTCGTTTATATATGTGTTCTTCTCCATCCACTATGTTCGTCCCCTTGTTCTTACTGTGTTCAACGCGGTTCGCCGTTGAACTGGTGCGAGGGGTTGAGGGTGAGAGGAGAGGAGGTTGTCCTCCCGTCTCGATTGCGGTTTCCGTCTGTTCTCACATCACAGTGTGACCTTTTTTGTTGCATCATTTGATCCTTCAGTTGAATTGGCGTGTACACGTGATCCAGTTCGATGTGCCTGTTTATTGAGTGGACTGAAGAGTGCCAGGCCTCAAAAAATTCTCTGGCGTGTTTTGACCGGGCTTGGTCGATAATTCTCACTGATTCGAAGTCAAATTGATGTCTTTCTTGATCTTCGTGAAGGGAGATCAACGATAGTGGGTCACATCTCCTGACTGCCAATTGGTGCTCACGGATCCTTGTTGACAGTTTTCTCCCAGTTTGTCCGATATTGTGTTTTGAACAGTTCTTGCAGTTTATTTTGTAGACAACACTGCTCTTGTCCTTCTCCATTGTTCCCTCCTTGGGTTTTGAAAGAAGTCCCCTTTAACAGGCGATCGGTTTGTAGGTGACTTGGATTCCATACGAGTTGAGCAGTCTTGATATCATGTCCGAAACGTCCTTGATGTATGGTAGGGTCGTTCTTGTTCTCGAGTCTCCGTCTGTTGTTTCCCTCGTTCTTTGAGACACAGTTCTTTTGATGAAGTTGCGGGGGTAGACATTGCCATTGTGGCCAATCGATAGAACGTGCGGTAGTGACACAGCGCTTAAGAACTGCATCAGGTGTGAACGAAAATAGAACCTATCTACAATGACCGAAGCGGTGATTAAACATTGGCACGCCGTTTCTGGACTACAGTTAGGCATGTAACTGGATCGATAGAATGAAATTATTTTCGTCTGGGTGCGGCATTGATTTGTCTTGATCATTGCATACACCGAGGGTGGACTACTCTACTAGCGAGTGTCCTTCCACTTCATGCTGAAGTCCAAATTCAGAACCTCTTCTTGTCAACTGTCCAGTTCCCCCAAATGCGCCGTTTTCTCATTTCCGGCATTTTTACATCTGAGACCTAAACAGTGTTTGAGAGAGAGAGGATACTATTAGAGCCTGTTGACAAAGTTTATATCGGTTTAGAGCTTGACTCAGATCTTCGGTTTTCACACATTCAGTCGTTTTTATCCGCTGTGCTTCAATTGCCTTCCGTCAAACGAATGCTTTTCATGCACAAGGAGTTTCTGGAGTACTCGGAATGCCATGAATCACTGATCGTAATTGTTTTAATGTATCATCAACGCGGCACACGAAGAAAGCCACTGAAATAACGGTTATTTTATTGAACGAAATAAATGAAAGTAAACAGTAGGTGAACAGAAATAGGATTGTTTAAACAGGCGTCAACCAATCGTCGCACGTGTGCTCCGCATCACAAAACTCCTGGAGGTCTCTGACCTTTGATTGGTCGAGACTGTTGGTCTCTGATCCATTGTCCTAAAACTGTAAGGCATGATTATCTTTCAGTCTCACAAATCGGGCATGGTTTTGCGTGGACTTGCTTCACTGCACTGGGTGATCACTAATAAATCACATGATGAAAAATCCAAAATTTCACAGCACAACAAAGGTTTTGTTTTTGCATTCCACTCCATAGAAACAATTTGTATCACGCTCTACTCAAACATTCCTTGGTTTTAGCATATTAGTGAATTCACCGTTAGATGACTCACAGTGAAATCAACCACAAAATATCATTTTTCACTCAGAAGCCAGGACACAATAACTCTAAAGATTTCATGGAACAGTTGCAGACAACTTCGTTGTAACCGGGCTCAACACCTCAGTCATCCCATTGGCCCTTTATGTAAATGATTCGTATATGAGCATATATATATATACATGTAGATATTTTCGTCACAACAACCTTGTTTGCAACACCGGGTGAACATTGGATAAACAGCTCTTTCAGTATATACGAATATACATCACGATTTGGGAATAAAGTAGTCTTGGCAAAATAAAATCACAGATTACTAGAAACGGTTTTATCGTGAGACCGGAAATCGGGTTCACCACATTTACATATTTGTTTGTCTACTCATCCGATTATCGAGATTACTCGTGATATGGTNTGTGGGTGGGCCAGAGAAGCATTAGTGCTTGCACAATTTTTTTTGGGCACACAGAGGGGGGTTGTGCAGACGAATGCTCACCACTTCTGCTGTAGCCAGCATTCGACAGCGAACCTGACTCAATAATCGCCCACAAACTTTATAGGGGAGTCGGAAATCCTCGGATACGTCCACAGTGTGGTTTTTCAGCTAGGTGTAAAACCATATTCGATAGGCGAAACAAGCTGTTTTTCGATAAATTCATCAACTGAACATGTATACAGATAGTGCATTCAATGTTGTATGATCCTGTGTACGGTGGATTTTATTACCCTGAATGCATAGCGATGCTAGGTGCGTCAACAATTTGATTCAGCTTCCTCTTGGTTACGGCGTCCTTCCAGTTACCACGCCCGCATCGGTTGGTCGCTTGGCGACTGGTCATGATAGTGATAATGTCTGGACGAAACGCTCCTCCACAGGAGCAAGTAAATAAACAGATGCACATGGACAATCTGTCTTTGAGATGGAAACGAATTACGAGTGACGTGGAGAAACTGATGCGTAGTGCTGCCATAGTGAAGGTTCTCTTTAGCGTCTGTTTTTACTGTTCGTGTGGCCCAATCCGCCGCCTTGTCGCCCTTGTACGTTAATTGCAGGTACAGGAGTTTTCTACTTACTGTGCTCACTTCTGGTTTCTCCGTTGTTTTTGTTAGGTGTTTGTCAAGGAAGCGATCCGGATAGCCATTCCCTCGTAATGTATTTCTTATTTGCTTCATTTCGTCGATTAGGGTATCCGGACTGCAGATTCTCTGTGCTCGTCTCGCTAGACAATGTACCAAGTTTCACTTTTGTTTCATTGGTGCGAAACTATTGAAATGAATGTATTGTCTTGTCCAAGTTGGTTTCCTATGGACGTTCCTTCAGATAGATCCATCTGGATTCCTACAGATAAATACATCTAGAGACGGGATACAATCGTTCGTTTCTTTTTCGATAGTAAAGCTTATGGATCGATGAGTATTGTTAAATTATGTCAGTATTCTGTCCAAGTCTCGAGTTCCATTTCCATTAATAACGAGGAATATATCATCCATGTATTTGCGGTACATTTTCAATTCCTCTATGATCGGTTGGAGGCTGGTGTTCTCTAGCTTACCCAGGAATACTTCAGGCAGAAGTGAACCCAAAGATGAACTCATGGTGACGCCATCTGTTTGTCCGTACACACGAATGTTGAAAATGAATTGTACATCAAAAGTGCATCGGAATAATAATTCCTTGAGAAAATTCAGTGGTATTCCAATATCCAAATGATGATCTTTCATAAAAGTGCACAAATGTTCGACAGTTTCGACTAATGGGAAGTTTGTGAACAACGATGTTACGTCTAGAGAGCACACAGATTGGTGAGAGATGTTTAGATCCTTGATTTGATCAACAAAATGGAAAGTGTCTCTCAAACTGTGTGTCGATATCTCCTTCCTGATTGGGTCGAGCATTCGAGCCAGCCATTTCGCTATGGCGTGATTTGGTGAGTTTGTCATATCCAATAACGGCCTCAATGGTGGATTGGGCTTATGCACCCTGGGAACTCCGTAGAACCTTGGAATATTTGACCCTTGGGGTTTCAATTTTTCGAATGTAGTGGAACTGATATGGTGTTCTTTTCCCATTGAGTTCAGGCATCTCGTCAATTGTTGTTCGATTTGTTCTGCTCGGTAAAATTGTGAACATACATCTCGGGTTCACTTGGGAATTGTCCGGTTGGTTTAGATTGGGACTTACCTTTCAACAATTTAGATCGTCTTTTCTGTGTCCGTTGGGTAGCTATCTGCTGTTTGGTGAACATTAAGAACAATGATTTCTCTTCTTCATTGAGCATACTCCATCTGAGCGGCGTTCTTTTCAAATTGTGTAATTTGTGTGCGATATGTGTCCAGTTGATTCAAACTGTGTCGTTTTAGTGAGCGCCAGTTCACATCTATATGATGACCACGTAGGACTTTCCAGTATTCTTTTGGATAGGTGTTGGATTGTATACATTCCTCAAAGAATCGAGCTGTTTCACTTGCCTCTGCCAAGTGTGCGGTAAACTTCAGGTAACGATTCAGTTCCTTGACCAGCCACGGTTCCTTGGTTGATCTCAGCATGTGGAAAATATTCATTTTGACATTGAAAACAAAATCCGATAGGTGAAACAAGCTGTTTTTTGATAAATTGATCAACGGGCCATTTACATTTATATGAGTAGAGCATTTTATATTGCTTGGTGTGAAAACATCAGGTGAGAAACCATTGCACTGGTGAGTGACTTAGTCGTTCCAGTGTTCATCCACGCAGGGTGGTGTTCACAATCGCCTGACCGTCCGGCCTAGATACGTTGTTCCACTGAACCTAGTAAATGAGTATAAACTGAATGTGACCTCACAGTCTGGAACTTTGCCCTTCAGTCCCAAATATACAACTGGTTTGGACGTGAACAACGCACGAAGCCTGGATGCATAGAAAGTCTTATCGATTGCGTTGTATAATCTATTTTATATAATCTCAGCTGGTGTGTCCCCTTTGAACGGTAAAGAAATTTACGCAATTTTTTTCATAACCTCCGTGTTTTGCAGAGTTTTCCGCGCACTGAATCATCTTGTTGACTAAACGTATCGGATACCTGTTATGTCCAATGGTTGATTTCATAGTACGGAGCTCTTCTTCTAGCGTGTCCTCATTGCAGATCTTTCTTGCGCTATCCGCTATCCAACGAACCAGGTTTCTTTTTACATTCAGTGGCACAATGCTTTCCAAATAGCGATATATATATATTGATATGTACTGGCCTGAATGCGAATCTCTGAAAACCGGCTTGTTTGCCATTTTGTTATTTTGTTTCACTTTAATCGATCGACTTCCCTCCCACTTCTCCACCCCCAATACACGCACACTTGATATCACTTCAGGGCTGGTTTTCGGGAGGTGTGAGAATCTAGGTGCTTCTCGCCACATGGGAACGAAAGCATTGAAATGGAGTTTGATCCACTGATTGGTTCACTAAGCAACTGGCTTTTCTGAAGAGATCAACAGTTCTGATCACGACCACATATTCGATTTCTTCCATCATCGTAGACTAGGGTAGGTGTGATCTTTCCAAAGGCGAAAAGATAAAACAGAATGATCGGACATGGGAATAGATGTTTGTCACAAAACAGTCTTTTGCATTCGTTTAGAATGACAGGTGTCATGCAGGAAGCAAAGGAAATCTACTTTGTAGAAGATTCTCAATCTCACTGAGAATAATAAACAATATCTAACGATCCAAATGCCAGAACGATTAACTTTTTCACAAATATCGTGGTTTTATCAAATAAAAACCGTTGTATTCTGTAATTTGAAACACTGCTCCCTCTTTATCGGTTTCAGTACTATAGAAAAAAGACAAATGTCGTGAGATGTTAACAATTCGTTTAATCTCCTCAAAACCGCTCACATAAAACAAGCAGGCAAATACAGAGCACATTGGATTGATGAATTATGGGGGGATGAATGTGTACAAGCAAACAAAGATCACCAAGTATAGGAGTGAATGTTTATCTTCATGGCAAGTGTGTGGCAACTGTGTCAAAAGCTTTGTGCGCATAAGTCGGGCTATACAGCCGTAAGCAACGCTTTCCTACCCATTTGTGGTGCCCCATAATCTGCTATCTACGGAACATTATGAACACACACTCATTCAACGACAGCTTAGAGTTTATACCAATCTATTGACCAATTGAACTATTTATATAAATACCTGAAGCGACATATCGGAAAGAAATTTCTCCGTGTTTCCATTTTGTTCTTATGTTTCCCTAATGACCAGCAGTTTATCATAGTGCTTACATCACAATGAATTGAAAGACAAAATAAGGCCAATTGTGTGTCTTGTTGCCATAAGATGTGATCTCGTGATTATCAGTTATCACTTCCTCCAACCCTTTTTTTGAATGTATTCGGTCAACCGTCGGGATAGCTGGTGGTTTGTTTTACCTCTAAAACCCGATCAAATCGATGTGCTTTTCATTTTTTAGGTAAGCGATTGATTGATTGGATGTAAGCTGAGCATATACGATGCAGGTGCGTTCATGGTTTGCTGTTCATCTAATCTGCGACTAGAATCCGCTCACCTAGGCCCAGTGGTAACGTCGTCACATTACCACCCCGAGCTGCGGATGTTCGAATCCCACCGCCGCTTGACTTCCCCCACTGCTTTTTGTTTGACAGCCTTTTGATTGGTCGTCTCCCCCTTCCAGAAAATTGTATCACTATGTATTCAATAAAATGACGCAAAATTGAAAAGAAAACAAGACCTCACCTTCCGGTCACAAAGGCAAATGACCGACTGACTAATAGCGAGGGTCTTTAAAGTGTTTCGTAAAATGCGGTATTCCTGCCAACCTATTTGATTATCAAAGGCAAACTCCAGATCCCAACAGAAGTACCAATTTCAATTGCACATCATTTTGTATGATGGGTGACAAGGAACACTGGACACTGGTTTCGTCGTTGTAGCACTCGTCCAACGACGGGAACGGGCGCATAACTTACGTATCCTTATTGAGATGAAAACCGTGAACTTTCCAAGCGAAATCCGTTAGTAAAACGTTTAATAATCAACATACGTCGCCTCATGTCTGTGAGATCTAACGGGCAAAACCTAAAATGAGATTATAACGGTTTTTCTCGTTATCCCGGTCGGGCAGTGGTGATCAAGTGGTTAGGGTCGGAAAAATGTCAGCCCGCAATTCTCGGATTCTATCCGCTTGACCACTGTCCATCTATCATCCATTTCCGCATTTTCCCAGGCAGTTTTTGTACGGCCGCGCCCCCTCCCCCATTCCTGAAAGTTGATTACACGTTTGTGTATGCAGTAGAAAAAAAGGATATTATTTATTTGTTATCTATCCACCGCTATGTTGTTAACAGATACGAATCAAAGTATGAGCAAGTTTCTTACAACCGTCACAGTACACCTACCACTATTACCTTGACTGATTTTGTAAAACAAACGCCTGTTCAGTCTCATCACACATCATAAATTTGCTACGATGATCCGAATCCGCCTTAACCACCCCGTGCGCGAGTTCAAGATCACGCATATNCCCCCTTACACCGTACAATCGATCGGCAAACTGAACAACGGCTCGTTCTATTGTCATTCAGAGACTTGGGGGAGGCAAAAACGAGAGAACGTGCAATGAAGAAATCACCTCGATGTGGACAGCACTGACAGTCCATCAAATGACACGTCCGATTCGACGCCAATCCGGATTAGTGTCAACTACGATTATTGACGAGGACGAGCCTTAATGTTACACTTCAATTGTTTGTTTTTTTATCTGATGCGATCTAGGCTTATGTTTTATTATCACTGAAATCCCCGGTGTCAGTACAATAGTCGGATCTACAGACAAGCATTTCTCTCTCAATGTGTCTTCGAATAACTCTGTTGGCAGAAAGCAGACAAACGGTACAGTGATTGTGATGCCAACAATCATATTAGCTGGATAGAAATGACAGATTGGTAAACCCCCCCCCCCCCCCAGAAGATTCGAGGCGTATTATGTGATGTGTGCTCTAACCCGATCCAGGTCTGACACCGATCCCCCGGAAACAGTCCGGTCCAGTCATCGAAAAAAAAGTTCTATGGGCAAGCATTACAAACCTGATTACGCCGAAGCGTTTGTTATTCAATGCTTAGCAACATTAACACGAAGTCAGTGGGCAAGCCATGTGAAAGAATTTAATGCACAACCCGCCATCCCACCCAGCTCGCCGCGCGGAAGCATTCTGAAGTGAAACTTGAATGTGCGCCTCTCAACTAGAGCTTAGAAAAAAAAACGGGAGGCATAATCCATGGCCGTCTGCAACAAATGCACGTACTATTTTTAAAAGAGATTATAATTTCAAACGAGCCGAAATCCGGGTCCGCGTTCCCCCTGTCCGTTTTGCTTTACAGTTTCGCTCGGACTCCGATTTTCAAGGCATATTTCTCGGCCATTTCGCATGAGTACAATCGTAGTTTGGGACACGAATGTCTTTCAATTTGGTCAAAAACCGCGGTCTTTACGTCCTGCAAGCGCAATCACACTATCTCCCTCCTCCAGAATCTACATATTGATTATTATACCAGTCGTTCCATATCGACAGTTCAACTAGGGCTCCAATATTCCCTTTCCATATCCTGGTCTCCACACATTTGACGACTTGGTTTCCACATCATTTCCGCGTGAAGCTGATTTACACTCCTTTACAACTTCGCATTTTTCAAACGGTCCCTGTATGCTCCCCTCCCCCACCATGGAGCAGTGTTATCACATCTGAGACAGTGTTTGCACAGGTTTGATATCCAGTGATGGAGTAACTAGCAGACATCCAAGCAGCAGGAAAACTGACGGGATAATCAATCGTGGAATCAGAAATAAGTTAGACAACACTCCTCAAATCGGGTGCAACCAGGTCGAGGGAACGAACATCAGCAACCTCGACCTGACGGGGCAAAGTTCCTACGAAATCAATCTCACGGTAACTGGATGAGCACACAACCAATCAGGGACATGTGGTAGCAGGCGATTGGTACTTAGTTTCAAGTGGAAATCATGCAAACAAGTTGTCATATTGGAGTACGAGTGGCACGACAAACAAAGGATGCGTGGGTACAGAATCACAGATTGTCAACATTCACGTGGTCCAAGGTAAAAAGGGTTTTGGCAAGCATGTGATAGAACTGATCACGATAAACATGCACGAGACAAACATTGTATCAGGCAAACAAGCGACGTGCCAAGCATGAGGTATATGTGTGATTAGGTCAGGAATCGGGGATGTGTTAAACTGGTGTGCTGAATTTCAAAAGAATACAAATCTTTACAGAGCCTGTTCATATTCCTTGGCAATTGTAAATCGTGCTCATAGTAAAGCCGCATTGATCGTTCATCCTTTGCCCATCGCATCTATGACCCTTAACGACCGTCATCACCATAGAATTCAAACTGGGCAGCCCACCGACCGGATCTCTCAACCACTTTAATTCGTCCGTGAGACCTAGTAAGAAGCGTTAAGCCAAATAATCACAAACGCGTATGAAATGCAAACATGCGGTTTCGGTATCTTTCGGAAGCCGAAAATTGTGGAACCGTAGTTTTCCTACCGTTTATGGATACAATCATTAAACTTTATTTTAAATGAATGCTTCGCCATCCACATTCCACGACAGTGCTGATGATCGTGAAGGTTTATCTGTTTAATGCATATTATGTTTTTTATGTCATAAAATGCTAAACAGAATAAGCAACATCTACGGTAGGACGGTCACTTTGAGTAAAGTAAAACCGACTGCATGAGTCTACAAGAGATATTCCAACAGCGAACAAAAATACATTTTCGAAACAAGCTACTCATGAGTAGTGAACTATTAATTGCAACACAGATAGACGGCGAAAAAGGATAGCATTCACCTCGACTGCTAGAATCGAATACACCGATGAGAGCAATGTGGTCTTTGAAGACCTCATTAATTATATTGCCACTACCCTCTCGTTCAAGGTATGTCACGAGGAAAAAACTACGATGAAACAGTTGCTGGTGACCGGGAAAACGGAAACAAAACAATTGTAGCATTCCTTTTTCAAAGATTATTTAGTCAATAATCAATAAATTATGTGTACAAATGCCACACGTGGGATCGCACAAAAAGTGAAATTAAAAAATGGTCGGTCTGTACACAATCAGACGTTCCGATGACTGGATTCGGATTTCGCTCGGAATGCGAATACAGACCGAGGACGGAGTGAGGGGAAAAATATTGGCTGAGTGAACATTGTTATTAGCATCATAAGACACAGTGTCATTAGTGATCCAAGACTCAACGAGATAACAAAAAAATCAAGTAAAAAAATACACAAGCTTGTTGCGCAGGAGAGGGGGGAATTTGAAAAAGACAAATCATTTAATTTAACAAAAAAAAGAACGGAGAGAATAGAAAATGGCGGCTGGCGGGAAAAAAAAGAACCGATATCAAGGCGAATTCAGGATTCTGAACAACAAGATGGGAAAAAGGCGAATGGGAAACGGCATAGCGGACAACTGGTTGGACAAAATAGCATCGGGACTCGAACTCAGGCTGTTTGTACTGGATGCACTGATTGTCCCTGAGTTTGTTGTGTTGCATGAGTGGGTGTCGATGGTTCATTTGTTGGCTGTTGCAAGGCATGCAGTCGATGGAATCGAGTAAGGCGTAATTTGCGACTGTATGCGTTGCGTGCGTGGCACCAAAACCGGTAACGGACACGCATAAGTTTGACACGATCGGGTGAGGGCGCATAACGAANCGAACAAACGAGTTTGGGAACAGTTGAGAACCAGATGAGCCGGGGTCTTCCCGATGGCCGTAGAGTACACCGATAGCGGAAGTGTAATCCGGCCAAATACCTGTGCACAAAATAAAAATGAGATACAGGTGTTATTACTAAAAATTACGGACCATTAAGGTTGTAAAAAGATGAGGTTGGAATGAGATTGAAATGTGGTTCCATTATTGTAGGGTTTTATACACTGGCCTCCGTTNGTTGGTCCGGCACTGTTCTCATATACTCTGCCTCTCTGATACGCAAACACACACGCACACTGCCAGACAGTGCAGCGAGCTATCTGCAACTGGGATCAGACTGTCAGTCATGTGACAGTCCGTTACCTGATTGCCACGTAGCCATGCTAGTGTAGCTACGGTTGGCAAACATTTCACGCAATAAATCGTGGAGTGCCGTTACAGGATTGGATTAGTTCAGCTGCCAGTTTCGCAGTCCGAAGGTGGGCAATAGAACAGCCGTTCCGTTTGGGCAACTACCTTTCCGAGATGCAGTGTCAGCACGCATATAGAAAGCTTGGTTAGCGTTGGACAGCTTGAAACAACTCCGGTACCGCAGTTACATGCGGTTATCTGCGGATATTCGAGTATAGTTTTTCTGTGCACCACAGACACGCGACCTTTAGGAAGAAGGCCAGAGACAGACTGTCCCTATCCGCTGTCTATGACACACTTCACGAACTTGGTGGGGTAACCAGACAAGCAGTGCCATGGTTAAGAGTAGTTTTAGGTATTCACAGTCAAGCACGGGGACAAATGCTTAATCTCCACATGTTACGATGGCGCTGTTCTAGAGACTGTGGTGAAACTGAACAAAGATGATGACTTGCAACCAACCCACAAACAATCGCGCGCGGTCGAAGTCTATGAATCCTAGTAACTGCCAAGTGAAACGGGTGGAACATCAATAAGATTATTATTATTATTATTACCCAACCGGTTCCCCTCTGTATGTGCAAAACCAACTGTTTATGAGAATCGTAAACAGCAGCATCGATTCATCAACTCGATCACTCGCTTTCCTGCAGCACAATCGTATCTGCCTTTCGATTACCCACATATGTCCATCGCGTGCTCACTCTTCTCGTTCCATCAGCGAGCACAACAGCAGCCACAGATCTCACACTAACCTATCACCTATCACATACACGTGACCGTTTTAGACCGCGAAAATCAATGCGGAGTTGTAAGTGCAGCTTGAGAAATAACAAACACAAATAATGATGTCATATGCTTTAAAATAAATTTTCTCATTTGACAAATTGACGTCAAAAACATAGTGTACAGAGTGTTACGATTGAGTGCATCAACTTGTCCACTTTCACAAAAGATTACAGCGCACATATTAGCACATAAGTTTTTCGTATGGTTATCGCATGCAACGGTCATTAGGATGAAATGATTTTCTATTCTGTGATGTAATTAACCGTGATAAAGCAGTGGGAGAAAACGAAAACGATGTTCAGATACCAAACGTGAACTTACCAGTGTCTTCTTTAAGGCAAACATGAAACCAACCGAATCTGTATCAGCATTGGAATATAGTTCATCATTATGATTATATTTCATTAAACCCAGTGATGATAGTGAAGGTCAAGCGGTTTAAGGAGTTGTCACTGGAGTGATGTGGGCCTTAAATCTTATGATGGGCAGCTTGGCTGTCGTTCGGTTTGCGCTTGATGTGGTGTCAAATGGTGTCAACAGCCGAGGCGATCACAATCCACCCCTTTACACACACCCTTGTGCGCCCACAAACCATGGGCAAGATCACTGATTCTGGCACGGACCTCCACCAATAACTTGGTGACGTAACCCCCGTCCAGAAACTCTTATTCACTTACGCATTCAATCCGAATTCCCCACCACACCCTACCCCCACACACAAACGACGCATATCAATCATCACAATGACATCATCCTGTTTTCAACAATTCAATCCTTCTCAATCACATCACTCTCTCTTAGTTCAGTCTGCTGAAAAATGTGCTGTGTGCAACCAGTTGATGAAGCATTGTATGCCACATCGTAACACGTATTCGGTCACACTGAGGACCGATTGCTGCTTTCCCGATTTCGCACTGATGATGGTACATAGTCTGGTCCCGAAATGTCTGCAAATCCGGAAAACCCTCCAATATCAGCACACGTGTTCGGTCTTTCCGACTCAATATGGTTGCGGTATAGCATGCAACGGTGTAAATAAGAAGTGGGGGGTCGTTTGGTTTTGTCTCGGATTGTATGAGGCTGTCGAACGCGCTTTACAAGCGCCCGCGCACACACAACATACATTCGAGTTATGCAAACACTATCAACAGAAAACCCGATGAAACAGTACCCAGCTTATGGAGGCCTCTTGGTACATTCATCAGTACGTAACCTACGGTTAAAAGAGCATAATTGATGAAGCACTCGGCTTAGAC